TGACTTTCATCTAATAGCAACATACATTCTTTTGTAGAAGTCTTGGGAAAGTAATTGAGATTTGACTCAAATTGACTAAAATAACTACATGTACTGTGTGTTAAGAAAAATGATTGAGTGTATTTGATATCTAGGATGTTTGTGTTGTAAATGTTTATAAGTATTTTTATTTTTTTAAATATAATATATATAGCTGAAAATGTTTTGGAAAGGGAATCATGTCTTAAGCATCTTTCTTATCTGTTATTAAAGTTTTGAGAACATGGTGCTTGTAAAATACATATTCAGTTAAATAGCTTAAAAAGGAATAATTGGCTATTCAGTTATTTAGGGAATAACTAAAGTAAGAAACAATCAGGAAGCATAAAACAACATTTCAAAATAAGGATATTGAAAATACCCTATATTTATTTCTAAGTTTTAATCCGTATGTCGTATCACTGAGTGATGAGATTCAATAAATATTTTATAATTTTCTTAATTATGTAGACATCTTTATGTAATAATTTAAGTGAGACAAGGATTGCCACTAGCTAGTGGTAAGTCACTTTTGAAAATATGTGGAATTGTAACATTTCTTGACAAGCTACATGAAGGGAGACTATATCTTGTTAGCTGACCATATAACCTTACATATATCCTGCATTGTTACAATGTCTCTTTTAAAACTGTAAAGTGGTTACTCATACCTTCATTCCTTGAAGAACAGTGCTAATCTTGGGGGTTACTTTTAGTTTTAAAAGTGATAATTCTGGTTTTGCATTGTTTATGATAATAAGTTTTAAAGAATTTTAAAACCAGTGTTATATTTCTTTATGCAGTAATGAAATTTTTGATGATAATGATTAAGCCAATAATAACTTTGAGGAGAGTACTTAGCATTGAATGCTGTTTTCTAGATGTGAAGAAAGTACTTCACAAATTTGAAATGAATTATCTATTAGTATGATTTAATAAACATGATTTTTGTATTTTTATATAAATTTCATTCATAAAATTTTATGTATTTTAATATTTATATTACATTATTTTATGCATGCAGTACATTTTACATTTTCTGTTACTAAGTGATTTTTTTTTCCAAATGTAGAATTTTGGTTACAAAGCGAATCAAACTATAGGTTGCTCATTTTCATTTCCTTCTATACCAGGTATTTCAGGAGTTCTCTGCCAGAAAGATTGATTATAATTTATATCATTTTTAACTCATTCATTCCTTGGAAGTTCCCAATACTTAAATTAATACCACTTAGAATTAAAGAACCCCTTCATTTCAACTGTCTTTAAATCAATTAAATGCTAAGTGGTTTAGGGAGACAGTGTCAGCAGTTCTGGCTCATTTATATTTGTTGAATACAGTGTATCTCTCCAAATTGTTAACCCTCACAACTAGGTTATACTAATTCATATTTGAAATAAAAACCTTCCTGAGTTATACTGGATTGTGTTGTACTGGATTGTGGGACATAGGAACAAAAATCAGGGAGAAGAGTAAGGTACTTTTTTGTTTCTTTCTGAAGACTAAGGTTATGAAATCAAGAAAACTGAGGGAAATATTTCTAATGTTGTCTAACTTTCTTCATTTTCATATTGATGTTTGTTAAAACCAAATATACATACTTTTCCCTAAAGTATAGCATTAATAGAATTGGAAAGACTGATCCTCTTTTCAGAATATTGATCCCTGCTACCAATAGTCAAGGTTGTAAATTAGATGTGTATGATGAGGGTCTGTATAAACAGTCACTATTTCATGATGCCAACATTGATAATAAAATTTTTGAAATATATATTTTTTGAGAGAGAGAATGTTTTCTTTTGTTATCTAAGTCACTCCTTTATCTTCAGCTTCTAGTGTTATACAAAATCAGCAACGTGTGATACAGTGTAAGAAAATCAACACTATATAATGTTTATAATTTCATTCAGTTTTAAGTTAATATTATGTAATGAAGTCCCCCTTCCCTGTTGTTGATACATGTATCACGTAGTATCACAAAATTTCTCTGTTCATTTTGTCCTAAAATTCTGTTACACTTACTCTCTTTTACGTTACTTCATCTGAAGTATGTTAGTGTTTGGTTATCTTTTTTTTTTTAGAATTTGTTTACTGGTATTCCTGTCTCTGTTGATAATATAGAGGTTTCACAAATTCACACAGAAATGCAGTTCTCAATCCTCCTGCCTTGTTTTTATTTTTTCTTGTTCTTGTTTCTGAATTATGCCAGCAATAATTTTTCTAAAATGATTGGCTAATTTTATAGCATTAGAACTTTCCAATTAAAGTAAAAATACTAATTTTGAAGGTCTCAAAATAGTCCATGTTCTTGGTCTGTCATGGATGCCTGAGCATATTTAGGGAGTCCCTAGAACAGTATATTGCCAGTGTTGTAAATATATAAGGAGTTTCATGTGCATGTATGTGTGTGTAAAAGGGATAGTAATGCAGATAATGATGTGTTTTGGTAATTTTTTTTCACAGTGATTAATTGTGGGAGTTTTTGTCATTACATACTAGGATCTTATTTTCTAGATAGAGTTCAGTTTTTAAAACAAATGATCTGCTTGCCAAATAAGTGGACATTAAGTTATTACCTTAAAAGATTCTGTTTAAGACTTTGAATATAATATACCCAGTTTCAACTTATGATCTGATTCCAAAGAGGAAAAGAGTCACATATCTGAGATAGTATCAGTGTTACTTGGAATTTTTTTAATTTAAAAAATTAAAATGTGGTCCTTTCTATCAAGCATAATCACAATTTAGCATTTCTTGAATAACATAAAAAATTTAAAACTCTATATAGTTCACTACCAGTTTTAAAATATGTAACCTGAAATCATTCCAAAATATTTTAAGATAAATTTGGCAAAGCCTTTATTTTGTAAATAGCATGGAACACTCTGTAGGTTTTTAAATAATTTCAGAATTAGTTACAGATGATTTAAAGTTTGTCATTCTTTCCTGGGGGAAAATATTTTAAATCTTAAGACAGGCAGAGTACCACAGTGCCGACCACATATT